ACACTAGTTCGCTCTGAAATTTTGTTTAAAGTAATTTATTTGGCATGCTTTTTTTAACAACTGAAATTAATGCAATTTCAGGGCAAAAATTACTTTATTTTAAACCGCTATTTTTAATATAATTTTCCCATATTTTTCAAACGTCTATTCAACTGTCTTTAAAAATATACTACATGAAAATCCTGATACATTTGAGGTTCGAGTTTTCGGTTTTATATGAATTTTAATGTATTAAATGAAAATTTAATCAATTCTTTTTTCGGTTTTCGATCTCAAATGAGCCAGGAGAACGAAACACGTTTTAGAAACATATTAATCGACATTTGTGAAGTTTTAATTCATTTTTACTGACAAGTTCTGAAATGGAGTTTCAGTAGAAGGAGATTAACTTTTATATTTTTATTATATCGTATTTTTCCCCTGCTGCATTTTCATATTTTTATTATATCGTATTTTTTCCCCCGCTGCATTTTAATTTTTATTTTTAGAATTTGTACTACAATGAATTCTCATTTTAATTTTGATATGTTTGGATATGGTATCAAAAACCTCTTATACACGATTGCTGTTATTAATATTGTTGAGGAATAGCCTTGCTTTTTAACTTTAGATTCTTTAAGTCTATTTTACTTCAATCCTTCAGCTATAGCGCAGTATAAAATTTATTTTTAATTTTTGCCTCTTATTAAGTTTCTTTGTGTATTTATATATATACTAGTAAGTTCGGCGGACATACGAAATGACCGTTGTTCTAGATATTATAAATTGCAATTAAAATGATTTGTGCAAAGGTGTCTGCTAATTCAAACTGAATTACCCAGGGCAGGTGGCGAGGACGCCCCTTTGTTTAGTGTCCCACGCGGTTTCCCCCTTGCTTAATTGCTTAAAGTAGAGTGCAATGAAGGAAACCACTGGCGATACATTTCTTAAGAGCCACCGCTAGCTCAATAAATAAAGGTGATTTAAATAATAAAATGTTAATTCACTGTCAAAGATCTCTTTGTACACAACATTTCTTGTGTATATCTTTCCATCACTTTTAAGTTCGCCTTGCAGAGGACCATCCATTATTTTTAATTTTACGTTAATTTTGTTTAAAGTAAAAATTAAATTTCGTCCTTTCGAACTCTTGAACAGGCAAACATAAAGTTGAATGGTCCAAAATGCAGGCTCAGGTAAAAAATGCCAACCACGCTTAAGGTTTGGCCCTGAGATTACTGATGGTCATAGCAAAGGCGTTTAAGGAAATTCGTCTACGTCAATTGAAACGGCAACCCTGTGCCGTGGCAACTTCACCCCATTGGCTAGTACAGTTACGCAAGCAACCAATAAACTATCGGCGACAAACAGACACTTAAGCCGCATATATACATGAGGTGAAGAAACATTATCTCCTCCGAAACGGCTGGCTCCCGGGTTCAGCGAAGCACATTGTTGGATTCCGCAGGTCCGTGGCACGCCATTTTGGCCATTCGCGTCTTCTTGGGACTTTAATTAGCCGAGATATTAATTAAAAACTAATTTTCCCTAGATTTTCCACTTTCTTTCTTGAGTTTTCCCTATTACAGGGATTTGGCTACGTGACAAATTCTTTTTTCTCGAATATCTGAGGAACGGCGCCGAGTTGAAATCCGAGACGCGTATTCTCGGATTTTAAAAAAATTCTCCGAATCCATCGATACCGTTCTCATCTTCGTACGACTTTACTCGGCCGAGATATTAATTAAAAACTGCGAAAACGTTGATTTTCGCGCTCATTTTTCCGAGTTGCAACAATAAACTATCGGCGACACACACTTTAGCCGCTTATATATATAAAGAAGATGTACACAAAGAAACTTAATATGAGGCAAAAATTGAAAACAAAATTTTTATACCCGTCCTGATATATACATACACAAAGAAACTTAATAAGAGGCAAAAAATGAAAACAAATTTTTTATACCCGTATGGCGCTATAGCTGCAGAATTGAAGTAAAATAAACATAAAGTTAAAAGTAAAGTGGAGTCAAAGCAAGGCAATTCTTTAACAATATGAATAATTGCATCCTTATATAAGAGGTTTAACACAATATCTAAATAATTCAAAATAAAAATGATCACAGTAGTACAAACTCGAAAACTAAAAATGCAAAAAATATATACAAGATAATAAAAATATAAAAATTAATCTCCCTTTATTGAACTCCATTTTAGAACTCATCAAGGGAAAATGAATTAAAGCTTCATAAAAGTTGATTAGTATGCTTCGAAGATGTGTTTCGTTCTCCTAGTTCATTTGAGATCAAAACTGAAAAAAGAAACAAATTTTCTTGACTCTAAAACTCATATAAAACCAAAAAAATGTGAATCTCAAATGTACCAGATTTTCCCTTTACGCCTTCGAAACACTTGGAAAAAATAACAAAACATAGCATTGTTTCAAACTAACTACACAAAAAAAAACCATAAAACTTTACATTATGTAAAATGACCATTGGAAAAAATCCAAATTGGTCTAAAAGCATTATATGCAAATCCAAAATTCAAAACCAAATATAAAAATAGATCGTAATTCAAGTATACTTTAAACCAAATATTTATTTAAACAGTACTCTAAAAATGGGGGTGTCCCCGATTATGCTTAACTAAACTTTTAAATCCAAGAAAACGAAAACTTTTTCATAGAGATTGCTTTAAATAATAAAATCAAAGCTGAAACTACTTCGGCAAAAATTGAAAAACTTATTAGAAACAAAATTGAAAAAAACCCTATTAGAAACAAAAGTGAAAAAACGCAAACTTATTGAAATCATATGATGATCTTCAAACGAAAATTTACTTTATTCTTATGATGAACGAACTGTAATTTAATTCCTAATCATAATAAATTCTAATAGTTAAAATGAAGTTTTGAAACGAGCAACACATAGACCGAATATCTCTATTCATATTTTTTTTTCCTTGCAAAAATTCGGAGCGACTATAGTACGATTGTAATTTAAAGTCATATTCACGCCAAAACGGTTTTTGAAAATAAAATAGCTTTAGATTATGTTTTTATTCTTATACCAATTCAGCTACATTTTCGGAATCAAAAAGATATTTTACCTTTTGCTATATCTTCTAACTGGATCCTGTTCTACAATATCCTTAGCATTTCTACAATACCAAAAGCCGACTTCAAGCAATTCCCCCTCCCCCCCCAAAAAAAAAGAAAGAAAGAAATTCGTGAGGGAAGAAAAGAAAAGGACAGTTGGGGGGGGCGCTAAAATAGGAAACAAACAAATGACAATGACCTTATCTGTAACACGTTACACAGACAATCCTCTCTGAAACACCGAGGTCACAGAATGCATAATTAATTACATGAAAATCTATACATGTTTACAAATTTTACAAGCTATCAATAAATCTTTTTCGCAGTTTCTCCTAGAAATTAAGATTTAAATTCTTTCTAATTCCATTTCGAAAACAACACTTTTATTCACTCCTGTCAAAGTAAAACTTTATAACACTTAAACCATGTTATCTACAACAAGTATTCCGAAAGAATGCAATAAAAAATAGGCAAAACTGACACACAGGAAAAACACAAATTTACCACAGAATGCCTTTTCATTATATTTTAAATGAACTATAAACATATTTTCATTTAAATAATTACGCTGTAATTTTCCTGGGGAAATTACATTATATAAAATTTAAAAAAAGAAATTGCAGATAAAATGAAGCAGAAAATGATTATACACAATATTTCGCTGCTTGTTTTGTTTTCTAATTTTCTGTTTATGGGGATGTTGTGAATAATCCCATGTAAATAATATTAGAGTCTCAAAATAACATGCCCAGCAACTTTTCAAGTTTTCAAAGCTATTTTTAAGACTAATGTTTTCTAGATATAAACTTTTTGGTCGCCTAGAGCCCGGAACTCCAATACGGGAATTCCATTAAAAACCATCCAATTATCCGTGATCAAAAGTTAAATTTTGCAATATATATATGTATATATAAGTTAAACAACGATAGTTTAACATTTTCGAAATGTTAAAATAATTATAGTGAATCCTTTCATATCCTAGCGATCACTTCGTTAAGTCGATCAAAAGAAGAGTGTTCGTTACGACCATTATTTCTGAAAGCATAAACTGTTGTATAATTATCATTCCTTTAACACGATCACTCCCATAGAAAACCTAAATTATTTCGATGCTTAGGTCATCGTCTTATAGAGCAATTTGTTGTATTCGTTGCATTTTTAGAACACGTGCGTTAGGTAAATAATATGTATATATGGGTTCAACGTCTATTTTGGATTAATGCGATAAATGAACACTTTGATGTAATAAACAAAAACTTTACTCAGCAACAACACACAAGAAAGGCAAACGACCATTACGTATTAAGAATTCTGCACTCTGGTCGTTTCCAATTTCAAGGAGACATTCTTGAAAAAGAATACAGTATTGCCCTTTATTGGCAGACGATTACTAATTCGATTTTTTTTATTATTATTATTCCCACATATATAAAATTATTTTTGCTTTTATACAGACATAATGTTGTTAAGTATAAAAGCATATATAAGATGTTGATTAAGAATCATACAATCGTTATTTATTTATTAGCACTATGTTGTTGTATTTTGTTCCGTTATATTTGTTTACATCATCTGTTGATTAAAGTTTATAAATATTAGTTCACTGTTCTAAGTAACAAGTTTTTCTCATACAGTGCAATTAGCGGATTCCGCCCCCAAACATGATGTTAATTTATTTTCAATATAAAACAACTAGTTTCACAACGAAGATCTAATTTAACAAGAAAAAACTTTATTCTAAATCTAAAAACATAAATTTACTATCATCATGTAAGTATTCCTTAGTTCCATGATTTCAGTAATAGCCAATGTATTTTCGATCATATAAGAAAAAACACTAAGAGCATATAAAAAAGAAAATCGCTATGCGTAAAAAAAAAAAAAAAAAAAAAAACATATCTGAACAGCAGAGAACGCTTACCTGTTGTAATTCATGCATCGATAGAAACAGGCCTCTGCTAGTGAATGATGGTCACATCTGACGATTTACACTGCGGTTGTACTCCTCTTCCCATCGTCCATTGCGGATACCAGACGATCCAAGTCAGCTCGGATCACGTGACGACGATCAGCACTTCCGAAACGAAAGACGATTTGCCATTCGCCTAAATTTTTATCGGTATTTAAACGACAGCAAAGCGCGAACCACGTTTACATAAGAAGTGAAGGCGAGAAGAAGGTTTCGACCAAATTCTTCTTTTTTTTTATTTTTAATTTTCCTCACTCGCTTTGAAAAGGTCAAAGAGGCGCAGTGAACACGGCTCGAAGGTTTACCACAGAAATGTGCATTTTCGCGCCGAGTGAGATAGAGTACCTCGCCAAGTTGGCGAAAACGAAGACACGCCCTCTTACAAAAAGCACGTTGCTGAAAACGAAAAAGAGCTCTTCTCGAAGCCCGTAATAAGACCTAATAAATATTTATGCAATTTTAGATGTAGAGAAGAATTTCTTTCATGTATTTATTTATTTATTTGCTCATAAATAAGTTTAATGTAATTATTCATCAATAAGCAAACAGCAAAAATTGGATTAAATAAGAAAATAAGTATGGTTGCTTCGAATATAATTCTGATCATTTTTCAGAAGCCTAATAAGACTCGGTCTTTTTTAAATCCTTTCCATGAGTATGTCGCAAATTAATTTGTAATTGGGTTCCGTGTAGCGGTGTCTTTAATTAATCTTCCGTTATTTCAAATTTTTTAGATAAAAATTTTCAAAATTTCGGAACATTAATTTCAAAATGAAAATTCATTCATTCCAAATATAGATCCGTGGTTAAACAGAAAAAAAGAAAAAATTCTGAACATTTAAATGCTAACAATTTATAAATAGTTTTTCATTTTGATCTGAAAATATTATTCATCAGAATTTTTAAATATATATATAAAATCAATACTTGCTATTCCCTCAGTCTTTTCCCCACCGCCACTATGCGTTGGAATAGGCTTATATGCAGTGTCTCAAAAAAGTGCTCCTACACTTTTAAGAATTTGCCGAAAAAGCGCTATAACCCGGAACTGAATTCGAATGTAAAGCCCGGTATTTTTTCACGTCATCTCCATGTGACTTTAAATAAAACTTAAAGTAATAAAACTTTTTAATTTTTAATACTGACTTATTTTCTTTTTTTTTAAATTGAAAATGTAAGAAGGCATAAATAAAACGCTCCACAAAAGTGATCGTACACTGAAACATTTTAGTAAAATTTCATAAATAAAACTACCACTCTTTCGTCTACCACTCTTTTTTTTTTTTTTTTTTTTTTTTTTTTCCCTATCTATTTTGATGACATTTAAAAATTTGAAAATTTGTTTGGCTTTATTCTTTGCTTGCTTACTTCGTTAAATTTTATTTAAAGATGGCTAGTAGTCGTAAGGAAATAACGAACAGCATTCGAAAATGGATTATTTGTTATAATATTTATAAGGATGAAAATTCGATTCGGAATATCGTTAAATTTGTAAGTTTATCTCTGTCTACGGTGCAGTATGGGATAAAATGTTTCAAAGAAGAAAAATATCGGATTTAAAAATAAATCCATCGAATCAAAAATAAAATAAGGGTTGCCCGCAAAAAGGACTCAACGTGACGAGAGATTTATAGTTAGAAAGTCTGTGAAAAATCCAGGTTTGAGTGCTGTAAAAATTTCTACAGAATTCACTAAAAATTTTTCTACTTCGATTTCACTTTAAAACTGCTCGACGAGTACTGAGATCAGCTGCATTCCATCTGCGCTTTGCTCGAAGGAAATTGTTTGGACGTGCAAAAAATAGGAAGCTTGGGTTTTTCTTCTCAAATTCAATGGTAAATAAGCCTGAAGCATATTAGAATCATGTCTTAGCTACAGATTTGAAAGCAAATTTGACATTTTTGATTCCGATGGGCGTATAATTGTATGGAAAGAAAAAAAAAAAAAAAATATAAGGACTTTAATCCCAAGACCTTGGTTGGTACAGTAAAGCATGGCTGTGGAGGTATTCTTATGCGAGGGTGCATATCAGCATCGGGATTAAATAATTTAGTATTGATTGATGGCACAAAGAACCATGCTCCTTATATGAATATTTTAAAAGATAACTTATTTGAATACGGGAAACAACTATTTTTTTATCAGGATAACGATTCTAAGCGCACGGACCTCAACGTTCGCCTTTTGGGTGTCTATAATTGTCCACAAGTTCTGAAAATACCACCTCAATCCTCATATTTAAATGTAATAGAAAACATCTGGAGAGAATTAGAGGTTAAAGTGCGAAGACACAACATTAAAACAATATCCGAACTAAAATCAGTAATAATGAAAGAAATTATGGAGGAATATTGATGCAAATATACAAAAAAAAAAATTGGTGAACTCTATGCCCAGACGTTTGGAAGCTGTCATAAACACTGAAGTATATACAACAAAATACTAACTGACAGAAATACTAAAATATTTACTAATAAGTGCCGATTTCTTTAAAGCGTACGAAGACTTTTCTGTTACTTTTTTATTATTAAGTTTACAAAAAAAAAGTTTCAATATGTTCATAAAATATAGTTTTCTAAGAGAAATTTATAGATATTATTAAAATAATTTTAATTCTAAAATGTAAAATTTTATTAATGAATAAAGCAATAGTTCACTGACACAACACTTTTGTGTATTTGAAAATGATAAATTTAGTGAAAATTTTAACCATCTTATTGTAGTTTGATGCGGATATCATTTTTAAATCTATCACGCGAAAATGTGTGTGTGTGTGTGTGTATTTAATTATGGCAAAGCGCACTAGGGCTATCTGCCTAAGGGGAGGGATGCCTTTCGTGGAGGACTTTCTAAGGGAAACTGGCTCGTATACACGTTACACATGAGGAAAACCACGAAAACGCCCATGCAGCCAGCCCGTTCGCGGGATTCGAACCTCGGACCGAACTACCAGTGTTCAGCGTCTTTACCGCTCGGCCGCTGGTGGGCCTCCACGCGAAAATGAAAGAATGGGGCTTGATATCCATAAATTGCAGTTAAAATGTTAGGTTACACGTGAATACTTCAAAATATTGTTTGTCACTACAATTTTTTTTAAAATTTTTTTAGTTTCTAAAAAATACGAAAAGTTTTTTTTTTTTTTTTTTTTTTCCAAAAAATTCCAATTAAACATTCGTTAAACTGTAATTTAACCCCTGAAACTTTTTTTTTTTCTAAATAAGTATGACAAGCGTACTAGTTAAAGAATTAATCCCTAAGAATTTAGGATATGTAAAATAAAATCATATATCATAAAATTTTTCGAAAAATCGGACTTCCTCCAAATTTTCTGGAGCTATAGGTGGTCGCCTTAAATAGATTTCTCTACAGTTAAAAATCAGGTCTCTAAAATAGCAATGCCAAACAGTATTTAAAAATAATAATTATTTTTATTTTTATTAAATAAAAACAATGATATTTTCCCTTCATAAATTAATGCCACGTGCAAACCACTCAGCAGAATATAACATATTTGTCTTTCGAGTTTAATCAAACATCTCGATGATATAAAACAAAAGTGTTGTCACTACACAAAATAAAATATTTACATCTTCAGCGAAGCAATGAGTTTTCGTTGAGCAAAACATAAGATAATAATTAATTTTTCTTTCAAATTTTTTCTTTCATTAATTAATAAAGTACGCGATTTAAAAGCAATAAACGCAGTTTCATTTCAATTATTATTTATTACTAACTGTAACAGTGAAATTATATTAGATGGATTCATTAAAATCATTATACATTTTTTCTTTTTTATATTTTCATTTTTTAGGCTGAGCAGGCGGCTAGTTAATTTTTTTTTTTTTTTAATTATTGTTAAAATCGTTGGTTCGCTTGCATAAAATGCTATTTACACATATTCTTGCAAATGAAGCGGGATCAATTTTTTTTCTCCAGGTCACAAAATCCACATAGAAAAATATTCAGACTTCTCTTTGAAGTGTTACAATGATTTCATTACTTAATAATAGCTTAAAATTATTCTTCACTTGATCGAATAATGAGTTTCATCAATTTCTGACTTTATTGTTGGCAGATAGCCCTTTAGTATCTTCTTGTAATTCAAATAATCCAATCCACTCCAATCCCATGGAGATAGAAATAATATTTCTACATCATGATTTGGATTGGAGGTAGAAATAATATTTTGTAATATTTCTACCTCCATGATCTAAACCCGTTCATGTGATTTCAGAAACAAAATCTTTGTTCAAACTGTTCTAAGCTTTCATTTAATTTGCCATCGCAGTATAATTTTCAGTTACATTTTCCATTGTTACCTGAGCTGCATATGAACTATTTTGGGTTAGCTTCACATAACTTCTTGATTACTTCAAAAAATTATGAATTCAATAACTTCTCCTGAACTCTTTAATATTTTTAATTTATTTTTTAATGGTGGCACAAAAGTTTTCTTTTTGGAGCTATGCCGACGAAAAGTTCAATTTTGATTTCCATGACTAAAATATTATCATTTTCCGTAAAAATGATGTATGTTTGCAGTGTAGATACACTAACACGTCCAGTGATGACAACATTACTGAAAATGTAAAATATATTAAGCTTAACCTTCGTAAGATATCCACAAAAAGCCAGAAATTATTTGGAACGCGGGTGGTCGTCTTAGAGAGAGTGCTCAGCATTTAATCTTGCGCAAAGAGTGAGCACAAATTAAAATGGAAATTTTCACACAATTACTCCAACAAAGAAAGACGTTTTCCTTTTTGAGCCAGGAAGGATAAATGAAACTCTTGGAGAACTCTCAGAAATTCTATTAACTGACAAGGTCAAGGGAAAATGTTATGTTTTCATCATATGATGCTTTCACAATTGTGCTCCTCCAGTAGCCAAGTAGTTCTGACCGCTGGAATGGCAGCAGGCTGGAGCATGGAAGATGACGCATTTATTATGGCAGTGACCCACGTTGCATTTAAATAGTTCAGTTTGTTGATTAAAAGAGAAAAATTAATATCTAACATGAGAAATTATTTTTCTCCGTTTAGTTTATTAATTATTTTATGAGGTTTAAATAAAAACTTCTTGTATAGAAATTTTTTTTGTCTTAGTTTTTTTTTCCATCTTTTTAGTCTCAATGATAAGTTGTCAATCAAATTTTTCAACTAAAAAATAATTTTTCAATAATAACTGATCACTACTTTATTCCCAACGGTTCTTTTACGTTCCAAGGGTAAAGAAAATTCAGCGATTTTACCAAAAATTCTGAAGTTACGTTAAAGGTCTCATAATCAAGGAC